TTCATTTACAGGTGGCAGCTTTTGGCCATAAACATACATCGAAATGTAACAGGTCTGATTTGTAGTAGCTTGAGTTAAGCCAAGGAGTAAATGTAGATATGTTAAGCAAATGTTATGAAATGTTTAGGGCTGAAACGATGTCAGTAAATATATCAATTTATATAATTATTGATTTTATGCTGAAAGAGAGAGAGGGGGAGGGGGGTTGTGATTTTGTGGAATTTCGTGCAAAGCTATATGAAGGCTATCTACACTAGCTGTCCATAATTTTGAAGCTATAGACTAGAGGGAAGGCAGCTAGTCAATTACATCCACCACCAACCCTTGTGCCACTCTTTATTAACGACAAGTGGGATTGACCGTCACATAACACCATCACGGTTGAAAGATCAAGCATTTCTGGAGATAAGATTCGATCTGGCAACCCGCGGATAGCGAGTAGAGTATCCTAACCACCAGACCATGTCAGACCCTGACGGTGAAGTGTTACGTGTTGTTTTTTTTTACCTTTTAACTAAGTTTTATTAGCAAGTGATTCTTATGTACTAAATAAAGTAATACAATCACTGTTGTTTATGTAGTTTAACAAATTTTCTTCTTGAATTTTAAATTTAGTAATACACTTTTACCTAAACATATTTTGTGCGTTTAGAGCTCAAGTCAAAATCATTCAGTTACTAAAATATATAATAAAAGCTTGATCTATTGCTTCGGCGTAAAGTCGTTGTCTTCTACAAGCATTTGATAATCTTATTTACAGCTTTAGAGAAACTGAAATGAAGTCGTTGTCCTCTATAAGCATTTGAGAATCTTATTTACAGCTTTAGAGAAACTGAAGTGAAGTCTTTGTCTTCTATAAGCATTTGAGAATCTTATTTACAGATTTAGAGAAACTGAAGTGAAGTCGTTGTCCTCTATAAGCATTTGATAATCTTATTTACAGCTTTAGAGAAACTGAAGTGAAGTCGTTGTCCTCTATAAGCATTTAATAATCTTATTTATAGATTTAGAGAAACTGAAGTCAAGTCGTTGTCCTCTATAAGCATTTGATAATCTTATTTACAGATTTAGAGAAACTGAAGTAAAGTCGTTGTCTTCTATAAGCATTTGAGAATCTTATTTAGAGAAACTGGCTAGGGTTCAATGTGCTTGAAAACATGAACGATGAGAAACACCTTTTTTTTGTAATTTTGCTAAAGATATTATTTCGTAATTATCTAGTCACATAGGATCATCGTTCATGCACACTTTGGCTTTAGAAAAAAGCTCAAAGGTATGCAAGGCAAGCTTGGTTAGAAACTAACTGAAACAAGCGTGAGAAACTGCACTGAGTAAATCAAAACGATATATAACCTCATCTTTAATATATTTGTGTCCCCCGGTGGGTCAGCTTACAACGTTAAAATCTGGGGTTCCATTCTCCGCAGTGGATAGAGGCCAGATAGACTTTTGGGTAACTTTGCGCTAAAACAAACAAGCCAAACACTTATATATATTTTTGATTATAAAAACTGCAGCGCCATCTGTCTTAAATATGAATAAAGTACCCTTTGTTCATTCGTACAACATGCGTTTATTTGGAAATGTCAATTACACTACAATGTTTTTTTCTTTTTTTGCAGTTGAGTTAACTGATTCTGACGAGCTCCAGATTAGATACAATATTTTATTCCCTATATTTAAAAATCAATATTTCCTACAAAGTTTAAAACAGAATATGAAAGTTCTAGAATGTAAATTCCACAACCATCATATTATCTACAACGTTTTCCTGATTCACAATAAGGTCTTTACAGCCAGAATCAGTCTTAAGGTACAACATTCATCACTAAAGATTCAGAAGTTTGTCAAGAATGGAATACCCACAATAAACTGTAGCTTTCCTTTGCTGATTTATAGTTATTAAAACAGAAAAAAAAATAAGACAAACGCAAGTTTTATGATGTGTACATGAACACATTATGAGAATGTTAAATTTTTCCCCAAACGGCATTGTGTTAAAAATGTGTATCCATCTAAACTAAAATACCTTAAAATGAAAAGCCGTCCATTATTCTTTATTCTATTTGACATTTTTTGAATTCACAGAACCTCGTTCTTAATTCCCTCTTTTTTGCGACAGTTAAGCTAAGACTCTTCGCTGGAGATGTATGCATAATAAGACAGTGTTTTGTACACGATATAGTATTCATAAACTTTTCAATCTTCATCTGGACTGTTTCTCAAAGAGCATTCTCTACCAGCCATATGATGAGAACCATAAATAATGGTTAGTTGCTTACAATATTCAGTTTAGCTTGTTTTTAGATGAATGCAGTAGGACGAAATAATGGTTGCCTCCAAGGATGAGAAAAACTATAAATATTTCTCTATCTCGTTTTTTGTTGTTTTTTTTGTAAGTATGGAAGATGATAAAATACATTCTACAACAGAACAACTAATTCTGTGATTCTGTTGAATTTAGAACGATATTAAACAAAACTATTTTTGAGTAGATTAACAATAATACCAATTTTCTTTGTACTATATAATCTAAAGTGTTAATTCATGTTCATAAGATGTTTCATGTAACGTACAAATACCACTTATTTGCTCTCAGTTTAACTTGCATCTAAACTCGAGAACGTGAAAACAAAACAGTTTAAAAATCCTGGGCTCGATTCCCCGCAGTGAAAAAAACGCAGGTAGCCTATTGCGTGGCTTTTCGCTGAAACCTACAAACAAACAATAGTCATTACTCATTAAATATTTAATGAATCAGACGGGAAAAGCTGTTTATTCAGTAAATATCTAAGTTATTGTGAAGAAAGTAACACTAATCACAGGAGAAACTTAATGCTGTTTCTTAAAACGTCAGATTAAGTATCGTCAACGCTATCCTTATATTTACTTTTCAGGAAAACTATGTGAAGATAAAAGTATTGAATAAGACAGTATATTGAGAAACACCTAATGCGACCTTTATAAATATCTAAGTAGCTTATTTATCGCGGAGTCTTGACTGCTGCACTACTAAATAGAGATCGCCGATAGAAAGTGAATTAAAGCTTATTGTATTTGAAAGTATCATAGTTACTTACTTTCTGAATGTTAGAAAAATGTTAAGCTACCATATGACGCCTTTTGTCTCGAGGAAAACAACTTGTAAACGTTTATCATAATTTATAGTAAGCAGTTTAATATATTTATCTTAAAATATATACGAAGTTGGGCGTGGCTTAGTGGCTAGCGTACCTGGACTGGAATTCCAAGGGTTCGTGGATCGCATCCCGCTGCTGTATGGAGGGTGCACTTTAAGAGTAATGGTCAAATCCCGTGATAGTGAGTGCTGTTTACTAGCTTTTCCCCCCTCTCGTCTGTCATTAAAAATTAAACACGGCTACGCATAGATGGCACTTTGAGTAGCTTTGCGCAATATCTTTTGAAAAAGAAACAGAGAATTACTGTTGCCATAACAACTGCAGAAATGCGAGATATCCCATACACCCGGTCATTTCATTTAAATCGCATTCACCTTTCATTTATAATAGGATATCTTCTGGGTAAATGTGCATATTTTGGGTATTTTTTCTAGACTACTACTTTGAAGAAGCTTGGTTGAATCTATTTAATTATATTACAAATTTAAAGAAGCTGACACTATGTGGCGGTATACTCGCGCAGGATGTGCCTTTTATTTTGTTCTCAGCAAGTGATGAGTATACAAATGAAAACTACAATGGTGTAGTAGGGCTATAGCGGACCGGGACGCCGCTTCTGTACTTACTTTTTTGGAATTATAATAAATACACGTTTTTGTAAAGCAAACTTCAGTTGGAAATCAGTATTTTATAATATTGAACATGATTGTAATTGAAAATGTTAAAATCATTATATGTGTAAAATGATGAGAAAGAAAAAAAACTTTAGCCACTAAGCTATCTATCGCCGTCCCTAACTTTTCACCTACTGACCGAAGGAAAGACAGAAATCTAAAAATATATCTATACCACAGGGCCAACCCGTTCCACCCCAATAAATAAATCATGTACACACACACACACAAATAATAATTATGTTTTTTTTTATTGTGCGAAGATGCTATATACATAAAAAATAGATAATTTATCATTTACTCTTGCGTGACTCAAATATTAGCTTAATGGATAAGTAACTAATTATTTAAATAAACTAAATTTTTGAAATGCAGCCTACTTGTATGTATATACATAATTCAAAGGTTGGATAGGATTTAGTAGGCATTCAGACGTAAAAAGTTCACCACTACTTAACTGAAGAGAATCGTATGTGTGTGTGTTTTTTTTAATAGCAAAGTCACACCGAGAGGAATCGTATCTTTGATTTTAGCGTTTTAACTCCGAAGACTCACTGTTGTCCCACCGGAGGACTTGAAGACATTGTTTGTTTGTTATGGATTTCGCGCAAAGCTACACGAGGGCTATCTGCGCTAGCCTTTCCTTATTTTAAGCAGTGTAAGACTAGAGGGAAGGTAGCTAGTCATCACCACCCACCGCCAACTCTTGGGCTACTCTTTTACCAACGAATAGTGGGATTTCACACCAAACATGTTCGCCCTTTCAGCCGTGGGGGCGTTATAATGTGACGGTCTGGGGATTAGAACCCGCGACCCACAGATTGCGAGTCGAGTGCTATAACCACCTGGCCATGCCAGGCCTGTGGAGAGTGAGAAGGATATATATGTAAAGATTAATAAAATCCTTAAACCTTTGATTGAATGTTTAGAATGATTGGTGTGAAGAGCAAATAGAGTTCTGGTTCCAAATTTTTTGGGTCTTTCTCAAACCCATTCTTTTTTTAAGAACTGGTATTACATTGGATACCTTCCTATCATCAGGAATCTCCCGTGTCTAAAGTATGCAATTTTCGTCGCTACACGATTAACTAAAGGAAAAGCTACTGGCTAATTTAAGTTTATTCTGAATTTGACAAATTTGCATTTTCTTATTATATATAATACATGTTCTTTTTTTTTTTTACAGTTGCTACGTCACACGGAGAAATCGACACCGATCTAGCAGTGGATCAAGTGGTGGGAACTTTGTTCAATCGATTATTTCCAGAGTTCCCAGAGAAAACTCCCTATTTCCACAAAACTAGTCACCATGGGGATACTGCAAACATGAATGACGTGATGAATCCTGAAGAAATGATAGAAGACCGCCATGTACCAGAAGGGAAGACAAACAGCGCTGTGTGGTATGTTCATAAAGAACAAAGAAAAAGAGGCCCCGGCTGTATGAGAAAATGTATAGCGCAAGGCATCCTCCACCCTGTCCAATGCCATTCTTTGTGCTAATAGATAGATAGTTTCTTTCAGTAAAACAGGTAACGTATAAGTCACTGTTTATTTTAAGACAACTAACATTACACTTCAATAAACAAAAGATAATTCTCTGCTTGACTAAGGCTTTAGTGAACTCTCAGGTTCACGTCTAATATTTATATAATATATATGTTCATTAAATGAACAACTATCATATAAATTCAATATGTATGAAGTCAGACGCCATATTGCATTATTAATTATTTTCTATAGTTCCATCTAGAGGGCCCGGTGTAGTCTAGTGTTTAATGTTCCTGGATTGTGAATCCGAGTCTTCATGTAGTTTTTAGTGTTCCTGGATTGTGAATGCGAGTGTTCGTCTAGTGCTTAATGTTCTTGGATTGTGAATCCAAGTGTTCGTCTAGTGTTTAATGTTCCTGGATTGTGAATCCGAGTTTTCGTGTAGTTTTTAGTGTTCCTGGATTGTGAATCCGAGTCTTCGTGTAGTTTTTAGTGTTCCTGGATTGTGAATGCGAGTGTTCGTTTAGTCTTTAATGTTCTTGGATTGTGAATCCAAGTGTTCGTCTAGTGTTTAATGTTTCTGGATTGTGAATCCGAGTTTTCGTGTAGTTTTTAGTGTTCCTGGATTGTGAATCCGAGTTTTCGTGTAGTTTTTAGTGTTCCTGGATTGTGAATCCGAGTCTTCGTGTAGTTTTTAGTGTTCCTGGATTGTGAATGCGAGTGTTCGTCTAGTTCTTAATGTTCTTGGATTGTGAATCCAAGTGTTCGTCTAGTGTTTAATGTTCCTGGATTGTGAACCCGAGTTTTCGTGTAGTTTTTAGTGCTCCTGGATTGTGAACCCGAGTTTTCGCGTAGTTTTTAGTGTTCCTGGATTGTGAATCCGAGTGTTCTTGATTAGCGTCCTGTTGCCGCAAAATCTCGCTCCACACTTTGAACCCGTGGGTCCACTATAAGAGTAGCAGTTATATCCCATTATTCTATCAAACAAGGGCAGCTCAAGGGTTAACGACGGGCGCTACTGACTAGTTGCCTTCCCTCCAGTTTATTAGCTCAAAAATAGGAAGGCTAAGGGCAGATAGTCCTTGTATTACTGCGCAAAAACTTTACCTCCCTTTCCCAGAGGAAACAAACAAGCTATCTGGCCAGGCATGGCCAGGTGGTTAAGGCACTCGACTCGCAATCTGAGGGTCGCGGGTTTTCGAATCCCCGTCACACCAAACATGCTCGCCCATTCAGCCGTAGGGGCGTTATAATGTGACGGTCAATCCCACTATTCGATGGTAAAAGAGTAGACCAAGAGTTGGCGGTGGGTGGTGATGACTAGCTGCCTTCCCTCTAGTCTTACACTGCTAAATTAGGGACGGCTAGCGCAGATAGCCCTCGTGTAGCTTTGCGCGAAATTCAAAACAGACAAACAAGCAATCTAGCGTTTAAAAGTGCAAATATGCATTAGATAGTATTTCATTATGAATTTATGGATAAAAGAAACCTAAGTTAAAAAAAAAGTTACAATAATATTAATACCATAAAATCATAGTTAAATTTACATTATGACAAATGTTGCATTAGTAGAATTTTTATTAAAATTAGTGAATAAAATATTTTTCAATGGGCTTGGGGCATTGCTCAAATGTTCACGTTGAAAAAAAAAGGAAAACTTCTCAAAATTTTGTATTTTTTTTTTTTAGTATTACTTGACTAAGAATAAAGTTCACCAATCGAACTTAACATTAAGTAATCCATAAAACATTTGTTAATAATTACTTCATTCTTGAGTTTTAATTTTAATAATGCCTTGAATGCTAGACAGTGAGTATAGCAAGTGCTGGCCTTAGCAAACGTAAAATTCCAAGCAGCAGGGTAACCAGATCATACTAATAGATTTCCTACTAACAGGAGTTTGTTAGTTTGGAGGGATTATCCACGTACAACTTGGCAATGGAAATAATACTGTAAAAAAGGGTAACTTCAAATCTCACATTAAGTTAAACAAGCAAAGGATACAAATAGATGAACAAATATCAGGTGGAAACGAAACAATCTTCTACCAATAACATATTTTCTTAGTATCCTAAAATAATGGCTGACTTATCATAAATTATAACATTAACAAAACGTAACAATTCACTTTGATATATCATTGGTTAGTTGCATGGATATCACAAAGTAGCAGAGGGCACACGATATAAAATTTATTTCATATCTATTTTGCCGTTCATAAATTTTAAACTGTAGTTAAGATTGTTTAATGAATAGTTTCATGTTTTCAATTGTTCGATGTGTTCCCGACCTCTCACACCAGCACATAGTGTAAAATATTTCAGACAAGCAAAAGTACCCGTCCCCAGTGACGGGAAAAGTTTAAGTTAATCTATCAATTTAAATTATTTCATGGACTTTAAAAGGGTTAATTGTGTTACACTCTTGGTTTCACTTAGAGTCAAAGCTCTGAACTACTTATACCACTCACCATGAAAAGTAATTGTTGAACATTTTAGTCATGCTAAGAGCCACTCAACAATAACATACGGTACATCTACATTTTTATTGTTTAAGTTACGTCACAATTTGAAATGTGAATGATAGTGTTATTAATTCCTAACCATTGTAGAATATCCTGCTTGAAATAAAATTTGGCCTCAACATTATTCAAGCCTGTTCTCCCGTCATTTCAAAAGTGAATGTTAAGCTTTGCGTGCGTGCACAGCTTTTCAAGTTTACTAAGGAAAGTGGCCGCCGTAAACGGGAGAAAGACGAACGTAATTTCGAACACTGCGCAGCGTCTCACGCGATAGGCACGATTTTTTCTGTTCGGAGGTAAAGTTATGCATTTACTTTAAGTAATTTAAAATTACTGTTATCTTGCTGAGCGTTCAAGCTTAGGTTTACTTAAATGCGTGTCAAGTTTATAACATTTATTTGTTATCGATGAACAGTTGTGTCAAAAAAAGTATAAGTGCATTTGATTAATTTTTTGTTGCATAATTTCTTGTGTCGATTACAGTAGAAATTAAATTTATTTATTTGTTTATTCTGTAAACACAAGTCGGAGCCACCGCTGCGACAATAACGTGTCTTTAACATTTGAGTCCAGCTTCAAACCTTTTGTGTTCCATTCTGAGCTACCTACTTCTGTGCCACTAGCAGGTTTTATCAAACTTGAAGATACAAGTTACTACCAATGATTCAAGTGGGAGTGGGCCCACAGTCCTCCAGCTAAGAACATCGCTAAGGAGAGCCCCTCTGGTTATATGGAAGAAGGGGGTACAATATTATAGGATACCTGAAAGTTTGTGGAGGAACAACATTGAGAGCCATACGATTATACGCGAAAACTGGTTTTAGTCGGGCAAAATTAAAACTACGCCTAACTATCCACAATTAGGTGGATCTGGGAGCGATGGACGTGGCAAACCGTTACCTTGTCACGCAAAATCGTTCAAAGCGGTACTACTTAGGGCAAACTTTTTACCTTATCTCGCAAAAACGTTCAATGCCGTACTACTCAGAGCACAGCTTTTACCTTATCTCGCAAAATCGTTCAAAGCCGTACTACTCAGGGCAAACTTTTTACCTTGTCACGCAAAAATGTTCAAAGCCGTACTACTCAGGGCAAACTTTTTACCTTTTCACGCAAAATCGTTCAAAGCCGTACTACTCAGGTTGTCATCAAAACTGATAGTGACTTTTACGTCTCTAATAAACTTAATAAAATTGGTAATGGATTGTCGATTTTCTAAAGGTTTCTAAGAATAATGATACTAGGGGGCTAGGCACAGGGCGCTCCCGGCTCCGGAGTTCCATAAACAGATTTTATTAAATATACCATTATTTCAATAAGTCCAAGTCCTGCCTCTTCCAACTATTCGTTTAACACAAACTGATTGCCAAGCATTAAATCAAGTATTTCCATAAGTATTTTTTATCGTTAAAGACAGTAAAAAGTCCGTAGCTGTGTTTGAATCTAGCACTTACTTGGAAAGTCAGTGAGAAATCAGACTAGCAAAATCGGCTACAGATAGTCCATAAATATATTAAGCTTATCTAAAGACTGCTAATTTGAAATTTAACAAAGTCACACACACAAAAAAAATTAATAGATGTCTTTCATTTCTCAGATTCCACGGGAAAAACAACTGAAGGAATTGTCAACAGTCACCGAATACCTTGAAGATCCCCGTAAAAAGAAAATACAACAAAAAACAAAATTGTCAACATTGGATTAAGCCTGATATGTAGATATGTTATTGGTATAATTCGCTTATGAAATAGAGTTAACTACGAACGTGAGTTTTAAATTAAGTTAATATGATATTATTTTTCTCTTTGTTTTTTAGTATTGAAAGATGGTATAACGTAAACGACGCATATATATAACGTAATAAAAACCTGTATCACATTCCCCGACTTTGTCCAATTTCATTAGGGATCATAACTCAACTTTGAAAGAAAATGTAAAATAATTAAAATTCCAACAGCAGAAGTATCAATCGTGTTAACAAAATTTCAATTACAAATTCTTCTTGTCTCAATCACTTATGTAAATTTTCTACAAACACGACATTTTGTTGCCTTAAAATATAGAGCCCGGCATGGCCAGGTGGTTAGGGGGCGCTCGACTCGCAATTTGCGGGTCGCGGGTTCGAATCCCCATCACACCAAACATGCTCGCCCTTTCAGCCGTGGGGGCGTTATAATGTGACGGTCAATCCCACTATTCGTTGGTAAAAGAGTAGCCCAAGAGTTGGCGGTGGGTGGTGATGACTAGCTGCCTTCCCTCTAGT